TAGTGCTCCCATGGGAAGAAAGCAATGGCAAACCACTTCTGAAAATATTGCCAAGAAAACTGGATGGATTTGTCCATGTACTCACCAAGAACCCAGATTGACAAAAAAGGCACACAAACACAAATTCGCCTTGGAGAATACCAAATTAGGTGGTTTGAAATTACAGAGATTTGAAAAAGAAAAAAAAGAACAAGAAAGAGAAAAGATAGAGGTGCAAGAAAAGTAAAAGTAAGAAAATGGAATAAAAATCACAAAGTAAAACATCTTAATCACGGAAATTATTTCTGATGACAGCTGCAATGTTTTCCAACTCATATCCTTTTTAACTTCATACCTTAAAATAATTGTTTCAAAACATAATAGTTCATATCAGTCTAGATAACACTCAAATATTTCATCTTTTTCTCAATTTTGAAACCAATTTTTTTTATCAGATCTTTCAAAACATCAAACAAAAAGAGCCAGTTTAAATTGTCAAATATATGCTATGGTTTTCTAACATCTGATGTATTTATAAGTACCCAAGTATTTCCATCTGCCCTCCATATAGTTGCATAAGCTTTACAGAGATAGCTCCTAAATCTTAGATTCCAAACAAATTTGGGAGAAGTGGTAAACTCCATTATTACTATAATTGTATGAGGTACTTTGTCTATAAAACTCAGGGTGGCATTCCATTTTACCTTTTCAGGAACTTATAAAGCAAAGATGCTAAATGATATGGCATGTCTCAGAAGTTATCCAACTAGTATCATTGCCAAACCAGAATTTGAACTTAAATATTTTTGGAATTATTATTCTGATAATGCAAAAAATCTTCATGATTTGTTATGGAACTTAGTGGGTTCACAGGATTTCATACTAGCCACTGCACATCTGATTCCATATTGCGTTTTTTTCTTGTTTGTTTGTTACATTTTATTAATATAGAAAACAAGGTCAAGCGAAATACATTTCTGCTTTCTCTTTTAGCCAGCATTCCTTGAATTAGATTTATTGGAGAGCTTGAAGTTGGGGAGAGCAGAAAAGGATTATTTTGGACTTTGAAAACAGTGCAGAACTGATGCAAGCAAGGATTGGGGAAAAAAATAAAATAGCACATACCTAGAAAACCTCTATATCTATTTCTACTAATTTTGCATAGGTCATTCTAATTTTAGTCTAACGTTCTTTCAAATTACATCTCATTGATTTAAAAAAGGCACCATTAAATGTTTATTATTTTTTCTCACGCTAGAAGATATTCACACTCAAGAACTGCAGATAAGTTGAGACAAACAAGTCCTTAGACCTGCAGAAGCCAAAACAGACTATGTCCAGATCTGAGGAGCATTTGAAATAGGCTAGGCAGGGTAATCCATAGTGATCAATACTGACTCCCAAAGGCTGATGGGATTCTTCAATGTTATTGTTATTCTTAGTACTATTAGTTAAAGTAATACTATTTTCCTATAATAAATGGTCAATGAACAATCTGAAACTTCATGAAGCAGTTGATGAGCTGAAGAGTTTGGGGATTACTGGGATAAGCAATCCTTGCACGTCCTTATTCTGTGCAGTGGTGTATATCCTTATGGAAAAGCTCTCAACCTTTATAACTATGTAGCTACTGTATTTTTTGCCATTTTATTAAAGCCACAAAACTTGCTGTGAGTAGCAAGACTTTAACAATGTTTCTTCGTTACAGTGTTTTAATCTCAGATTGTACCGTCTCTCTGCAGGAATTCAAAATAGGATTGTCCTATTTCATGCTCATGAACAAGGCTGCATATCTGGAAGAGAAGATTCCTCACAGTAATTTGTACTTGTGCAGAGGAGCCAATACACTGAGCAGAGAGCTGTGTCTTGTTCCCTATTACAATTTGTTATTCTGAAACAAGTAGAGGTATAACATAATGAGGAAGACTAGAAGTTGCAGATGTATGGACTTCAATTTCCAGAATTCCCCAGCCAGCCTGACTGTTGCTGAAAATTCTGGGAATTAGCCTATATCAGTGATGACGAACATTTTAGAGACCGAATGCCCAAAACCTGGCCCCGCTCCCACCTCCCCACCCCGCCCACTTTGCCCCTGCCCTGCCTGCTCCACGCTCCGCCCACCCGCAGGGCCACCACCACCTCCACAGCCCGCCACTGATCGCCCAGGCAGCCCAGCAGCGCCATGGCAGCCACGCTCTCTGCCCGCGCTCCGCAGCATCATCTGCATGTGATGGCGCGAGGGCAGAGTCTTGTCCCTGCTGCCCAGCTGCCATGTCCTTGGCTGCTCTGCTCTGTGCAGGCCGCGCTTGGGGGCGATTCTCTGGGGGGGCTGTGGGGGGAGGCGGGGCTGGGGTAATGGCACACATGCTCACAGACAGGGCTCTCAGTGTCACCTTTGGCACGCGTGCCATAGGTTCGCCACCACTGGCCTATATATTTGAAGGGCATCAAGATTTGAGAATAATACCCTTGCCCCCAAAGTTTACTGGGAGAATAAAATGTGCACTGGGGGAAGATGGGCATGGTGCCTTGAGTTCTTAGAAGAATTGCAGAGTATAAAATTTGGCAGATTTAACACCACCTTAAAGACCAGAAAAGAACAGGAATGTCAGATTTACCATCTGATAGACATAGATGTTGTATGATACCTCGACTAATGTCCTTCTAACTTCTATGGATGCTTATTCCTCCTACTGCAGAAGAATTCAGTGGATTAGTTTCTGGTATTCTTAGACCTGAGAATATGAAGACCTTAGTAGGAAGGCAAGAACAGCAAAAAGAAATATCAGCAGAGTAAAGGAACTCAGTATGGATCCTGAAATAAGAAATGATCTTCAGTGGGTAGCCAACCACACTGATCAGGACAGCAGTGAATACCCCACTTATAGGCTTTTGTCTTTTTATGACATTTTGAGTAGATTCTCCTTTTGGCTTATCTTGTTCGGTTGGATTAAGAATTTAGCTATCAAGTCAGATTTTCTACTCTCGCTCATATTTTCTTTTGCTTCAAGAAGACTCTGACCTCAGCAACACAGGGTTGCCAACTCTAGAAAGCAGCCATTCTGACAATAGGGCTAAAGTAGACCAAAGACTTAGGCTGACCAGTTATTGATTCAAAGCTTTCTACTTGCATGTATATGTTTCTATGTTGGAATTGGACAAAAGAAGCTACTTTATATTAGTTACATTTTTGTCTATCCAGACCAGTATTGTACATATTGGCTGGCAGCAGCTCTTCATAGTCTTGGGTCTTTCTCATCCCAGTTTCTCTGATTCACTGGAATATCTTTTAACCTGGGGTACCTGACAGTCCACATACATATACTTTCTCTATGGCAGGGGTCTTCACACTTGGCTCTTTTATGACTTGTGGACTTCAACTCCCAGAATTCCTCAGCCAGCCATGCTGGCTGAGGAATTCTGGGAGTTGAAGTCCACAAGTCATAAAAGAGCCAAGTTTGAAGACCCCTGCTCTATGGGGTTTATGATAACTCACCAGGCCACTTTCTGTGGCCAATTTGCAGTGGAATGACTTGCTGCAAGTCAACTTGGCATGGCCAATTCACAGGACAACTTGCCACGGGACAAGAGTTATACTAATATTGAAGAAATAGTGGAATACAATGATTAGAGAAAAGATGCCAAAGGAAGGACCAAATGAAATGTGAATGACAAAAATTAAAATATTTTTAAAATCATTTTAAACAATTGAATTGTTGAATTGGGCTGCAGGGAGTTGTCCCATGACAAGTTGGCTGTGGCGAGTTGTCCCATTCCATTCCCTAGGAGCCATATAATAATTCCCCATTGTAATTTTGGTTTATGGCCAATAGATGGATGGCAAACAATTTCTGAGGAGTAATGCCAAGTTAGACAATTGTTATTTTAAGCCCAGGTCCCCTTCTATCTTGACCACTGTAATGTGTTTTGCATAGGGCTCCCCTTGCTAAGTATCTGGATGCTTCAGTTGGTTCAAAATGTGGCAGCCTATATGGTTCTGTACAAGTCTAGACACATTTGTACATGTGTCACTCTTCTTGCATTCATTGCTGATTTGCTTTCAGGTCCAATTCAAGATGCTGGTTGTCACCTTTAAAGCCCTGCATAGCTTGGAGACAGGTAATTTGAAGGGCTGTCTTTTCCCAGTTACAACCACCTGACCCACCCAAGCAGAGACTCAGTGTATGTCACTGTCCCCTTCATTAAGAAGATGGTCCCAAGAAGAAGGGTCTTCTCCATGATAGTTCCCTCCCTGTGGAACACCATCCCCCCACCTTGATACTCTTTCAAAAGCCCCACGAACCTGGACACCCCAGGGTAATAAAGAGCACACCAGGGTTTATTGGATTTTGTATTTGGGATGCTATTTCTTTGAGTTATCGTGAGTGGGTGGCCATACAATTTTTTTTAAATAAATAAAAATAATATCCTAAACAGAAAGCCAGTTTGGTGTACTGGTTAAGGGCAGTCACTTTCTTTCAGTCCTAGGAATAAGGCAGTGGTAAACCACTTCCCAAAACTGCAGGGATTAATCCACACAATCTCAGACATCAGAATTCTGGATCTCATCAAAACAGTAAAATTCCTATATTTCCAACAGTTCTATTCATTTGGACACCTGCTTATTCAGACATTTTAATCTACACCCTCCACAAGTTCATTCTGATCAAAAAGTGCATTACAAAATGCACTCTCTCCGGTTATATGTTGACTCCCAAGTCTGTCGCCAGGTGGCAGAGAGAGTCTATTGTGTTTGTGATTGGCACAATGCAGCGCATCAGTGTTCTTTTCACTGCATCCTTTTCATGGTTGTATAGGAGCGTAGAGAGCACAGCTTCACTCAGAGCTGGTGCTGCTTTGGATCTTGCTGACCTGGGCTCTCTATGCCAGTCCAGACAGAGTAATGAAATTCCACCCTCTTGGCTCCAACAACAAAGGCATTTCTATGACCATCGGATGGTCTGACCATACAGCAGCTGCAGCTTTCTTTTTCTTCTCTTCTTCTGTAATCTGGGGCTGTCATGGCGACTCCCAACAATATTACCGCCACAAACTGCAGCTGGTGGCCCATTTCAGCGCTGGAGAATGATGCAGGCAAATCCATGGAGGTTGAGGCGAATAAGGATCCGACACACCCTGCCTTCAGGTCCAAGGACAGGCTGGTTCTGTATCATTGGACCCAATCATTCAGCTCACAGAAGGTAAAATGATTTGCTGGACTGAGGAAGGGCTTGCTAGATTCCCTTCACATTCTAGGGCGTTAAGATTATGAGGCTGGGGCAGGGTGGGGTGGGGAAATCTGGCTGCTTTTTGTCCTGGGGGAACAATTGGAGATAGAGAGTCGAAGCAAATGTCTATGTTTGGTCTCTGTGTTTCTACCATTGCAACAATATTTGGCAAACGTGGGTGGAAGGGAGTAAATGTGTCGGTCTGATTTGCAGGTGAGATTTCCATGATGTATTTGGAGAAGCTTTTGTTTGATAGCTTGTTTCTTTAGGCTTCTGAATGAAAGAGAGAGAGAACATCATAGAAAAATGAATCATTTGCAGGTAAATGGCAGGCATGTTAGGACTGGAGATTCTGCATTGATTTGTGAAAGGGTCACACTATCCCCGACCAGCCCTTTACTTCTGACACTGCAGTACTCGTAAGTGCCAGGCTTTTTCTTGGACTCAAAAATCTGCTCTTGGAGCTATTCTGTTCAGGCTTCTGTTACAAAGGTTGAATCCTGATCTTTATTTTGCACAGCCATGCATATACAGCATACTGCAGCCATTTCACTGGGATTTGTAATATATTGGAGCTGAGGTATGCAAAGGGGCAGTTTTGTCCAAATATGAGATTGCTCCTCTCCTCCTACAATAGGTTCCACCTTTGGAGGGAAGGGACCAACAGGCACTGGACAATCCTTTGGACCCCTGATTCATAAGGACTGTTTTGCACTTCCTGAGCTTCCAAAACAACCTAGGTCATAAATAAAAGAAATAAAAGAAGTCAACACTTCTTTTATTTCAGAGGATTTTGCCTCTTGTTCTTCCATTATAAGACATCTTAGTTCAAAGGTTTTCTTTATGTCTTTGTCTCTGTGTCTGGTAAGGAAACAGTTAAGGAGCTACTCATACATGCTTTTCTACAACTAATCCAGAATTAGCCCCACCTCTGTCAGAATTGATGGGGCTCCAGGGACAGCAGACTGAACAATTAAAGAGACAGTACTAAACATGCACCACTGATTTCGTACAAGCCCTCCCCTACACAGAGACACAGACACAGACACACACACAGACACACAGACACACACACACACACACACACACACACACTGGTAGGGATGATACATATGTGTATCTGTGTGTTTCTTTGTGTTTTTTTTAATTGCTTGCCAAGAATTTTCTCTGTTCTGAACTCAGAACCTGAGTTCCTGATACAATCTTGGATTATGCTGCATAAACATGACATATGTAGTATATAATATGGATTCAGACTGTGTTTCACATTAGAGTTCTCTTTATTTAATTGCATTAACAACATTATAGTTTCACCTAGAATATCTATAGTCTCCTTCTTTTAGCATCTCTTAGCATGAGTGCAAAAGTTACATCCTGGCAGAATTGGAACATTTTTCTTCCCCCCACCCACCCTTCACCCCTTCAGGGTGTCTGCTAATAAAAGCAACAGATCATGTATGGGAGTTGCAGACAGACATCTGAAAAAAGCGACAAAGATAATAAATCCTACAAAACTCCTTCCTTGTTTCAGTACCATGGCCAGGGCAAAAATGAAGTTTTCAGTACCTAAAACGATGTTCTCTAACAAATAGAGAAGAAACAATCTGTAGAAACAACTTGTATTGTATGTAGAAAAAATCAAATCCATGTACACACACGTGCACACACACACACACACACACACACACACACACAGAGAGAGAGAGAGAGAGAGAGAGAGAGAGAGAGAGAGAGAGAGAGAGAGAGAGAGAGAGAGAGAGAGAGAGGATAATATGTTTATATAGCTGATTATTTCCATATATTGTAGCTGAATTTTTGTCTGAAAAATGATTGGTTTCTACAACCTCAAAACCTAATGCCTGTGACAGAAATAAGCTATTCCAATTATTTTAGAATCATAATATTTATTTAAATATTTATACAATCTTTGTGATTGCACTGTCTAACTTGGGGAATATATACTCTGGGGATAAAGAATTTGGAAAGAAATATGGCTACAAATAATGAGCTCGTTTTGTACATACAAGAATTATTTAAAAAAAGACTTAAAAGCTCTGTCATCTGAAAAGACCTAAAACTGTTACTTATCTTCTAACTTGCCAAAAACATCTAGCAAGCTTTCAGGGAATTCCAGTAAATCTAGAATCTGGGTTTAAAAAACAAGAAATTTGGTTTCACAGTTTCAGGGTTTTTTTTATAATAAATGCCACATTCATAAGTAAACAAGAAGGGATGTGCTGTGTTCAGGTACATAGTGTAAAGCTATAGAGAAACTGGCCAAGGAATATTTTCCATGTCCACATATAAAAGAACAAGGAATAATGGGTGTAAGTTATACTTTAGTTATCCAGATTTTCTTTAAATATAAGAAAAAAAATTCCTGATAGTAAGATTTCCATAACAGTGGAATAGTCTGCTATGGAGGTTGTGGGTTCTCAATCTCTGGAGATTTTAAAGAGCAGCTTGGAAGCCACCTCTTATGCCTGGTTTAATTGATTTTCTTATACATGCCTTGTGGTCCCTTCCAACCCTACTATTCTATGATTCCATAGGAGCTGTGCTGTATAAGAACAAAACATTATCCTATCCAACAGTTTGCAGCAACCAATGCCAATCAGAAACTCACAAAGAGAATACAACTACAATAGCATCATATTTGCTTATATTACAGAATAACAGAGTGGGAAGGGACCTTGGAGGTCTTCTAGCCCAACCCCCTGCTCAAGCAGGAAACCTTATACTATTTCAGACAAATGGTTGTCCAATCTCTTCTTAAAAACTTTCAATGTTGCAGCATTCACAACTTCTGGAGGCAAGCTGTTGCACTGATTAATTTTTCTAACTGTCAGGAAATTTCTCCTTAGTTTCTAGGTTGCTTCTCTTATTGATTTGTTTCCATCCATTGCTTCTTGTCCTGCCTTCAGGTGCTTTGACAAATAGCTTGACTGCCTCTTCTTTGTGGCAACCCCTGAAATACTGGAACACTGCTATCATATCACCCCTAGTCCTTCTTTTCATTAAACTAGACATACCCAATTCCAGCAACTGTTCTTTATAAGTTTTAGCCTCCAGTCCCCTAATCATCTTTGTTGCTCTTCTCTGCACTCTTTCTAGAGCCTCAATATCTTTTTTACATATTTTTTGGCAATGGATATTGAAACTTTTGCTGCCTTTATGAAACCTTTATGAAAATCATATAACCATTATGACCAGCATCTATTACCCCCTGTGTTCCTTGTGCCTTTAAAGCACAATTAGTATCTATCCTTACATCTTGTGCTATGGAATTCCATATTTTAATTATGAACTGTGCAAAGAAGTCATTCCTTTTTCTCTTTCCTGAAATTCCCATTATTTAACTTCATTGTATGATAGTGACAATAGTTACATATTTCCTTTCCTCTGGCAGTTCAATATAACCTAGACAGCATGTAGGATTTTACCTCCCAAAGAATTCCCAAAGAAAATAGGTTAGGTTGAGAGAGAGCAACTGGTCCAAAGTCAGTCATATACTTCTATGGGGCAAGCCCAAGGTCCCAATCCACCACCTGAAACAATATTCCATTACTGGATACCATATGCACTAGGAAAGAATCTATTTATTTTCTCTACATCAGTGTTTTTCAATCTTGGCAACTTTAAGATGTGTGGACTTCAACTCCCAGAATTGGAAATGGGAGTTAAAATCCACACATTAAAGTGATTAAGGTTCAGAAACATTGCTTTACATCATACTTAAGTTTATAAATCTATATTGTTAACCCTTTGAGGCAGACCAGATCAGGAAACAAACTCTGAAAGTACTACTGAAGTTCTATTGTTGCAGAAAACCTGGCAGAGTTTCTCTTTCTTTGCCTCTTATACTGAAGAGAGTCAAGGCAAGCTATTCCCAAGCTTCTTCCTCAGCCATATATTTTCTTCAAGACTATCTCCATACTCCTCTGCACCTTTTATGTCTTCTTAACTTGCCTTTCTTCTTGATTGAAAAATCTTCAGATTGTAGCATTTCTTTCCCAAAATCCCAAACACTAACTTTTCTCCACAGCGTTCTCTAGTCTTTTGACTATTTTGGTTCCATCCTTTGTAACTTCTTCAATCTTACAAGATCATTGCTGAGAGGCAGTTACAGAATACTAGTATATTGTGTATCATCTCTATAGATTTATAGGCTTTACAGTACGGTTGTTGCTGTAGTGGTCTCCAATGTAAGATTTACATTTTTCAAAGTAGCCTGATACTATTATCTAGCAACATATCAAGATCTGTTCCTTGGCCATTTCCTGCTAGCCATTTCATTACTCACTGATATCTATAGATAGGACTTTTTACCCTGATGTGCATCAGTTTATGTTGGCTTACAATTGCATTGACTTTAAAATGTTGATGTCTATTCTTCTTGCTAAAGAATTCCTGTTCCATGTTTTAATCACCCTAAAATAATCATTATGTACACATGACAAAGATATTTCCAGGACACGTTCTTGGGGATCCCAGTACTACCTAGTATCTTTCCATTGCAAAAACTGTTTGTTCCTATCTGTTTTGTAATCAGACATCCATAAGAGAATCTCTTCTTTTACTTCATGAAGTTAAGTTTGTTAACTTAAACCTATGAACACATTAGCGGAAATACTCAAAGTAACATCTAAAAGAATTGCAGACATCATGTTAATTTTGCTTTGGCAAGATTTATCTCACTAGTTAAAAAAAAAAATTCTACCAAACTACCCACACAGAAATTAAGGTCTATGTCCCTGAATCTCCCAAATATTGTTTTAAAACAATCATGTTACAATAGTTGAGCCTTTTGATACAGTACCATGTTATTGTTGTTGTTGTTCTTGTTGGAAGATCAGCCATTTCACACTGGAAATGCTAAAAACCTCTTGGAGCTGGTGATATAGTTTCTGAGCTGTAATGAACACCTCAGCTTGGCTTCTGCAGTTTCAAGCCTCACATGATATCTCTCTCAT